TTTGGAATCCTTGTAATTATACCTGTGCCATCTCAACTGACAGCTGTGCCTATTTTAATTTTGAGATTCAGCTGTTCCTCTGCCAGTTTTGACACAACATTTGAGGCATGTTCAGAAGCATGAGTCACGATACCCTCCAAAGGCCAAGCCACTTCTGCATTCTGTTCAATTAGTGCTCTGTCGCTGGACGACGGGATATTCTAGGAACAAGGCGCCAGATAAAACTAAGACCACAGGCAATTTGAGGAGGTAGGATACAGCCAAAAAACACACACAAAAAAACAAAACTAGACAACGTGATAGGCCTAAAGGACAAAGGGAAGGAGACTTAAAAACCCAACTGCCAACATTAATCTATGAGTCTATTTATTAGATAGTTCCATTCCTTCCCAGTCTGACTAAAATGTTTGCAATTCATTCTGGTTTATAAGCATAGGAACCCCTACAACAGTGGTTCTTAACCTGTGGGTCGCGAGCCCTTAGAGGGTCGAACAACCCTTTCACAGGGGTCGCCCAATTCATAACAGTAGCAAAATTAAAGTTATGAAGTAGCAGCAAAAATAAGTTTATGGTTGGGGGGGCACCGCAACATGAGGACCTGTATGAAAGGATTGTGGCATGAGGAAGGTGAGAACCAGTGCTTTAAAAGGAGAGAGAAATGGAGTGGAGTGGATAAGGAAGCATTACAAGAGCAAACACCTTGGAAAATAAATATTATTTATGGTACCTTTAGGATTCAGGAAACGAGCTATTTTTGATATAAAGAAAGTAATTTTTCTCAATTTATTCACTAATTACTGTTGAAAAACACACCTTGCCAAGTCAAATATTTGCAGTAAATAATTATGATTATTTTATTTCCCCCCACAAAATACAGAGCTGTGCACCACATTGTAATAGAGGTCTTACACCAAAAAAGGCCCAAGATTTTTACTGGGGCATGATTTACATAGCGCGTCAATTTTATACACATTCTTAAAACGAGTGATACTCAACAAGTGTCCTGACAGAGTATGTCAACCTTGTAAAGAACATGCAGATTATTGCTGAGAACTTGCATATATTTGAAGATGGCGTACAAATATAGTAGTATACAAATGCTTCAAACTTGCAAGTGAAATAAATGCCAGTTAAAATGCACCACCAGAAATCAAAGCACACTACATTGCGGTTTTAATTGCTGATAATAAGGCTGAGGAAGACTGAATTTAAGATGGACAAGTCTTATGTTTCGTAATGAAAACAAAAGGTCTTCAGCCTCTGGGACCTATATTCAAAGCTGTGTTCTCAAAATGTTATTAAGTGGATTTTGAAAGGCTTCCAAAGAGAAATTAAGATAAAAATCTTTGCATGAATTAAATTTTAATGTTATATATTCTCAGGGGAAAAAAACTGTGTCTACCATGATAGCTTCTGCACTTACAGTAGTTTTAAAGTAGCTATCTCAAATGAAGTCCATAAAGTTTAAAAGTCAGTATTACAAATCCTAAAAATTATTTTAAAATCTCATCATTTATCCTAGTTACATGTTAGTGTGAATTCTCTCTGCAAAACCCCCTTTTGTAGCAAGTGGACAGCATCATACCAGTAGCAAACCACGCAAGCAACACAAAAATATATAGCCTATAACTATTGACGGTATTTGTATTCTTCATTAACTAAACAGCAGCAAATAGCCCTAATGCACACTGCACTACAGAAATTACACAAAGAGATAAGGAAAAATGTGTAGTAGATGCTTAAGAAAATTTCAATCAGAGGTACTATCTTTGAGATTTATGCATCCTTGTCATTGTTTTTGGTCTGAAATTAAAAATTTTTAAAAGTATGTACTGATCAGAGAGAATCAATATAAAGTTTCCGACGCAAACAAGCCAATCTTTTAAGAGGGCCCTTCAGTTCTTCCATACTTCCAGAAATATCTTCCAAAGGAAGGTGCAACTTCAGCAAAGCAAGTAGCAGTTGTTTTTAGCCTAGACGTGGGAGTTACACCCCGAGTCCTTGGGTGTTGTCCTTTGGAAAACCCCTCGGGTATTCTATTTGATTGGTAAAGCCAGCTTGTTTTTAAACCAACAAATACTTAACTATAACCAAGTTTGCTTTAAGAAGGCTGGTGGTACAACGATCAGGCATTTGGCTGCTAAAATTAACAAGTGGGTGGTTCAAAGCCACCCAATGCCTCTGTGGGAGAAAGACTTAACAACCTGCTCCCATAGGGAAGACCACCTAGAAAGCCCTAAGGGGAAGTTCCACTCTGCTCTACGGGCTGTTATGAGTCGAATTGGCAGCAGGTTTCCTCCACTAAAGAGCAGGACTCTAAAATAATGCGGCCACAGGCCAGCGCCCCTCACACAACACAGTGCTCTTAGTTCCTCCTGTCTCGGGCTCCTGGAAGAACACAAGATAATTCGCATGCCTGCAACAAATGCCCAGCCGAAACGTGCTATAAAGCACTTACTGCCAAACCACTTGAAATATATATATAGATAGATTACAGATGTTTTTGTCCATAAAACCACCACATTATTAGCTTTGCCTCATATCATAAACAGTATTAATGACTAAACGCTGACTTCCTCAGCCTCCTAGTAATTATGTTTGTTTGATCTCGACTTAAACTGACTGTAATGGTTTTTGTCCGATGAAAGAACAAAATAAACTTCTAAATGCGTCACAAATTGTCCTGTCCGGGGTCTCAAAAGTCGGCATAAAAAGGTGTGAGGGAGGGTGGTTAATGAAGACCTCAGGTGTTACGAGGAAGAGGTGGAAAGGCTGAACAGCTTCTATGAGAAAGCTCCCAGGATCTGGGAAGGGCATCGTGGAATTGAAGGGAGAAAAGGTTGAGGTGGACGCTCCAAGTCCAGGGGCCTTCTGTGGGGCTTTCAGATGTCTCCCCGGTTTCCGCACCAGAACTCACTTGTCGCCAAGCCCCTGTGCGGAGTGGGTGGTTGTGTGCCCAGGGTCTCTCCATGTAGGAGGGCCTCACGGCTTACGCTGGCTCAGACTTCTTGGGCCACTCTGCTGATGAGACTCCAGGCATTTGCTTCTTAAGGAATTCAGAAAACACAATCATACCTAGTCTGCCAGGGATTATCATCGGTGATACCAACAATTGCCTGGACTTTTCCATTTTATCACAGTTTAAGCTGCTTAAAGCATTCAAATACAAATGCATATTTATGTCTTTGGAGTTAAAGACAACCTAGAAACTGAAATTTGTTCAAACGTGTATTTAATAGAGAATTTGGGGGAATATGTCTTGTTCCATTAAAAATGAAGGATAAGAAACATTCATATTACACAAAACTTCCCCCTTGGTCTCACCCCCAAAAGAGCATGTGCAGAACTGTAAAGCAGCTCTCTCTACCGTGAAGAACTGTTCTTGAAACACCAACCCACCTCTGAGAAAGGATACAATTTAAAAACTGATACTTTAGCAAAGTTTTGATTTGACTCACAAGGACTATTAAAATTTATAAACCCATGATCCTAAACTAGGTGGTTGTTTGTTGTTATTGTTTTTCCCCCAAAACTAGATCTTTCAGACCTTTTCCGGTCATACTAATATCCAACCATACACCAAAGTGACCTTTAGGGATGAGAAAACATACCGATTATTGCTCATAGGGCTAGTTCACTAAAATTAAGCAATTATAATAAATATTCAATTACAACTTACTAACAGGTATTAAAGCATAATGTAAGCAGGCGTTCATTTCTTTTACCCTTGTTTGTAACTCCAGTTTGAGTTTTAAACCAATGTAAATGATCTTCATTAAAAATATGTTAAGCCCAAAATTGCAAAATTTTAAACTCAAGCTCATAACCTTTAAATTCTCCTGAATAAAATATTAGTGCAGAATCTATGATCTTGTATACTTCTTAACTGATTTTCATACATTGCTAAAGTTTCCCATGAATTTTTATTTTCTAGACTAGTTCAACAAATAGAAAACCCATCCAAAGAATAGATTTATAAAGGCTGTCACTAATCTTTTTCTACAAAAGTAGTTGCTTAAAAATGTGTACCAATTTGTTTTTATTTCCTATAAATATTTTAACCAAGTTGGTGAATATTAGAATGCCCAAATACCTTTTAAACAAATCCATGTAATCAAAATACTAAAATGTCTAGCAAAAGTCTGACAATCACTAAGTGAAAAGTTCACCATTTAATAATGAATGTAGTCTCTCATTAACTATTTACACCTTAAATAGGTGGAGACAGTCACAGCAAAGTATACAGTGTCTATAAAGATCTAACTTCAGCGATACTGGGAGGGTGGTGGGAGGGTCAGGTGGAAAGGGGGAACCGATTACAGGGATCTACATATAACCTCCTCCCTGGGGGACGGACAACAGAAAAGTGGGTGAAGGGAGACATCGGACAGTGCAAGGTATGACTAAATAATTTATAAATTATCAAGGGCTCATGAGGGAGGGGGAAGCGGGGAGGGAGGGGAAAAAATGAGAACCTAATGCCGGGGGCTTAAGTGGAGAGCAAATGTTTTGAGAATGATGAGGGCAATGAATCTACAAATGGGCTTTACACAATTGAAGTATGTATGGATTGTGATAAGAGTTGTTTGAACCCCAAATAAAATGATTAATTTTTTTTAAAATCTAACTTCAAATAACACTGCGGTTTGTAGTATCTTTCCCTTTTCATGTCTGCTCAGAGGGAATGTGTAGAATGACTCTGGGAAGTTGGATCTGGATATTGCACATGAATGTTAATGTGGACATTACGCAGCCAGCATAAAATTTACTGCAAAGTATTTATTTACCTCAAATTTTTTATATCCTAAAGTGAACAACTATGCCAATGGAAAGAAACATCCACAAAAGTGAAAATGAAGTATTGCGCATGACACAACCACCATGAATGCTGGAAGCACGGAGTGTAGACTCAAAACTCATGTTGTTGCACATTAGCTTCATTTGGATGAAGAGCTTAGGATATATGTACTCAGAATTATAGAAATACCAAGAGTCAAAAATATTTATTTCAAGATTTATTTCTTTCTAAAGGAATGAATTTCCAAAATAGTCTTATAATATAAATGGTTTCCTTTTAAAAAGTCATTTTTTTCCTTGCAAAAGAGCAAGAACAAGATAAAATCACTTACTTTCCTACCCCTTTAACCAACCAATACACATTAAAGTGCCTGATATGAAAGGCACTAAATTTAGTAGCAAATTATTGATATCATATTAGTTAACTTCAAAAACAGAAGACTACGTTTCACATTATTTTAAGTCTTTCAAAAAGCAGTGTCCCTATAAGACAATCACATTTTATCATTTAGTTATTGACTGAGATTTCTATTATTTTCTTTAAGGGTCCTCAAACTTAATTTTTCTAAGCTCTGTCTGTCTTGGGAAATCAAATCAAATCAAAAGTCTTGGTTATATTCGGCCAACTTCCCTTCCTGACCATAATACGAACAATTCGAGAGAGTTAAACATTCTTCTTCTAAAGGTAAAAACTGAATGGATTAGATCTTTTGGTTTGGGTCCAGTTAAGTTCAAGTATTCGCCACTGTTGAATTAATTATTTTTCGCCAGGCAAGAACAATAATCGCAGTCAAATATTAGAGAAAAATAAATAAAGGCAGTAATAGCTAAATATATGATTCTACTGAGCTGTACAAACTAAAGCAACAGCAAGCACACAGACACACAACCACAAAAAGAAGACAAAGCACGGGAGTCGCAGCCATTGACAGGCACAGACAGGCACAGACAGGCGGCCTTTCTTCAGAGGCACCTGTCAGGCTGCAATCGCCAACATCTCAGAGAGCAACTAAGTGTATGAACTGCTTGCTCGATCCAGGGGGTCTGATTTGGGGCTTATAAATAAATTTTAGCAAGTAGGGAAATTCACAAAGATGGAATCTGCAAAAAACAAAGATTGACTGGAATTTATTTTTCATAGAAAAAAGTGCCAGGGAGGTAGAGAGGAAGAACGGTGTCAAAGCTCTTTCTTTTATAACCCTCCTGTTAGCCTACAAAGTGATATTATCAACATGCATTCTGAGAACTCACTCACCTCGGAAGGAGACTTCCAGGCTCTGTCTCAAGCCTTACTAGAAAATTAAAAGGCAGTAACATGACACAATGCCTAAAACAGAAATAAGAAATGGCTGTCTGAGGTGGTGGTGGTGGGGTGGGGGGGGGAACAAATGTTTTCCACAACTAACAAATCAGACTACGTGAATTAAACACTCCCCAAATATGTAAAACACTTCATCATTAATAGATTATATACATGAAATGAAGATTACATCACTTCTGAGAAACAACCAAAAGAAATGACTGCCGTCCGGACAATTCAGCCTCACAGCGGCCCCTAAGACAGAGCAGACCAGCTCTGAGGCTGTCCATCGTCACGGGAGGAGGCGTCTCAGCTTTCTCCAGGGAGTGGCTGCGGGGTTCCCATGTCCTTCCTCACGGCTCACTGTCCCACTCATTACGCCACACTATGCCCCACGGGCTCCTTCACTGCTACGAGGCTAAGAAAACAACATTTCAACAATGGAGAAAGCAAGCTTTATACAGGTCTTGACAGTCATGGAAAGAAAGCAGTACAGAGCAACAAAATGTTGAGAACTATTAAAAATTTTTAAAGCGGTTTTCCATTCTTTCAACCGGATTAATGATGTAAAACCAGTATACTGAGTTAGCATAGAGAAAAATACCAATGCAGATTAACAGGTTTCTGAAAAGATTCACCACTATATTTGTAAATTTTCATTTAAACCTTAGAATGCAGAAGAAAAATCAGAAAGGAAGTCTTGAATAAAAACTGATTTTTAGTTTTACTTTCTAGAGTTAAAAAAAAGACTCACACTGAAAGTCTGGCTAACACTTATAATTAATAAAGAAACACAGGAACATGCCAAGATTTCATCCTATCAGCAGATATAAATGCCAGGTTGGAATGAAGTTTGCTTCTCTATCTCCCAGTTTTAGTCAGTTTTTCCATTTTGAAGACGATTTTTGGCCTTTTCTTGTCGGATGGAGGAGATGACTTTGATGCATCCCTTCGTGATTTTGATCATCCACAAGACATTCATTACATCTAAGACGGCACAGGAAGAGATCCAGGAATACTGTATTAGTGGTCCAAGCTGGATGTAAGGGTCTGTTCCATGCACAGAATATATGAAGAAATAGTACGGAGGTATCACAGCAATCCTCACGATGAAAAACACTAGTGTCATGAGTATTCCATTGATGACGTTAGCTTTGGAAAACTTCGGATACTTCAGAGCTTCGAAGAACCACCTGGGTGAGGGCAAACAAAGAAACATCTTGGTTTGTTTTATTTTTCAACACCTCTGAGGATCAGCAAGGATGGCCTACCTCACTAATTCTGCTCAACGCTGTACTGAAAAGAAGTCCTAGCTTATGCCATAAGACGAGAAAAAAGAGGTGTGTAGATTGAGAAGGAAAACTAAAACCACTACATTTTCAGAGAACAGAAGAATATAAATATCCTGAAACTAACAGCAAGCACAACAAGGTCACACTATCTATACAAGATTAAGAAAAAAGAGCCAACTGCTTGGAGCTGAAATTATATATAGTTATAAATGTACATATATAATTATATACAATTTATTTACATATAATTTTTATGGCACCAAAAACAATATACACAAATATAAATTTAATAAAATGTGTAAATTGACATATAGAAAACTAGACACACTAATGAAAAACCAAGAAATTTCTAAGTATATAGACAAATACAGTATTGTTAAAATGTCAGTTTAACAGTTAATGTTAAAATGTCAATTCTCCTCAACTAGATCTATAGAATCAGTGTAAACACACACCAAATCCCAGCAAAATTTTCCTCACATATAGAAAAATGAATTCTAAAATCGATATGGAGAGATTAAAGTCCTAAAAGAACCAACAAAGTATTAGGAAAAAAAACAAAATTCTACCTACTTTTGAGACTTAAAACATAAAGCTACTTTAAAAAAGATAGTGTGGCTGAGGGGCCAGCCCCAATCCCAACTACTTGAACACCTGGGCCCCGCCCCTCCCCCAGAGGAATTCACTTCAGAGGACAGCATTGAAGCTGCAGCTCAGGGAGAGGGACATGTCTGATCAGAGCACACAGGCGCAAGTGAACGGGGAGGAAGAGAGAGTGGAGCACATCCTGGTCCACCAATCCTTGAGGACGATAATCCTGCTCAGAGCAGCCAATGC